CCAAGGCTGGGCAGTGTGTAGCAGCACAATCCCTGCATGAAGGCTCTTAGAGGGCAAGAAACCCGTAGATGCCATTGTGTAAAGTCGGGTTCTCTGGAAGAATGGCCAGTGCTCTTTAACTGCTGAGGTTTGTTTGACAACAAAACCTGAATAGTATTAGAGACCCCAAGGTGTTAGCTGTGGGTGAGCTGCATACAGAGGGTAGGTAGAACTAGCCCAAGAGAGAAGTGTGTTGCAGGCTGCAGAGCTGGAACACGGAGCCATGTCAGGCCTGACCCTGAAACATAGAGCTCCAGGAGTTTGTCCTGCTCGATTTGGGTCTTCTTGATTTGGTCCAGTACTCCCTCACCATGCCCTAAACTCTCCTCCCTTTTGGGATGGTGATGTTTATTCTGTGCCGTTATATATTGGAAGTGTGTAACTTGCGTGTGAGTTTACAGTGTGTCACAGTTAAGAGATTGCCTTGACTGGAAGATTTGAACTTTGGACTATGCTGTTATTGTTTTGTTTTGAGATAGTGTCTCTCTACATAGCCCTGGCTGTCCTGTAGACCAGATCTGTCTGTCTCTGCCTCCTGAGTGCTGGTGTTAAGGCATACCTCCTCCCAGCTAGAAATTCAGACTTTTAAACAGTTTTAAGACCAAAAGACTGGTGACTTTTGAAGTTGGAGTAAATATATTTTACGTTATGATTTGGGTCATGAGTCTGGGGCGGGTAGGGTGGAGTGGAATGGAGTGGTTCAAATAAGAAGTCCCCCATAAGTTTAGGGCTTTCAAATATTTGGCCCCCAGTTGATAGGAAGTTAAGAAGTCTTAGGAGATGTGACATTCTGAGAAAGTGTGTGACATTCTGAGAAAGTGTGTCACTGGGACAGGCTTTTGGGTCTCAGTTTGAGATGTAAGCTGTAAGCTGTTTTTGTTTTTTATAAGTTACGTTGGTCCCAGTGTTTTATCACAGCAGTAGAAAAGTATAGACATTTTGTGACTTACTTCATTTTTTTTAAATGACATTGAAGATTTTAGCTTTATTTTACAAATGTAAAAACGGGAGTTAGGAGGTCAACTTCTATCTACTAGTTAACACAATCCCTCAAATCCAACCTACCTGAAGGGCAGGGGAGTAACCCTGCTGCTGTTAGCGTAACATCCCACTGCGGTTCGATGGCTGCCTCAGGAAGGACAAGTGTCTTCTTTGAACATCCTTTTACTAAATGGGTATTGACAAAGTCCCATGTGCAGGTGACTGGGGCTCAGCAGGAAGCATTAAGAGGTGAATCCAAACACGCTGCCTCTACTTGCTGGGAAGCCTGTTGCTGAAGCTGCCTATCCTAAGGGTTAGGGTCCCAGGCCCAGAGTAATTAGAGAGAACTTCACTTTTGTTCTAAAATACAGAGCTCTAATGTTCAGCAAAACTTACCCAAGAGCAAGGTAGATTGAAAAGAGCCTTGATGGTCAGGTTTTGGAGTTGAAGTTGACAGGAGTCACTGGAATACTTAAGGGTCTTCCTTGCTTGTGTGTGTGTGTATGTGTACGTGCTTGGCATTTTCCCTTCACTCTGACCACCACAAGATAATAGGTGAATCTGTTCCAAGGGACATGTCACCATCACATCAGCACTTTGCAGGACTCATCTGATAGCGTACACCTGAAATAAATGTTGACCTTTCTCTTCTCTTGCATTCCTTCTGTTCTAATTTCCTTCTCCTGCTGTGATAAATGCCATGCCTGAAAGCAGTTTAGATGGTGGAAGATTGATTTGACTCACACTTCCCGATCACAAGTCCGTCATTAGGGGAAGTTGGGAAGGGAGTGTATAAGCAGGTATTTGAAGCAGAAACCATGAAGGAATACTGTTTGCCGACTTGCTCACAGGCCCACAGGGAACAGTGTCACCCACAGTAGGCTGAGCCCTGCTATATCAGTTAACAGTCCCTACATTCATGGCCACAGGCAGTCCAATCTGGACAATCCCTCAGATGAGACTCCTTTTTCAGGTGACTGGACTATAAAGTTGAAAGTTAAAGCTAACTAGGAGAGGTTACTCCACCCTTGTCAACCTGATGCAGAAACTTGGCACTCTAAACCATAACCTTTGTCTCAAGATCTTGTGTTAATATCACAATATAAAACACACTGCAGCTTTAAAAATCCAAAGTCTCTTAACTCTGGCATCCTGTAAAACTAAAAATAAGTTTCATACTCATTCCAAAAGGGAAGAACCAGGCCATAAAAATGATTAGATCAAAACAAAAACAAAACCCAGCAGTGTAAGTCAAAACTCCTGTGGCTCAATGTCCAGCATCTGGAACTCACTCATTGCGTAGTCTTCTGGCTCTAACAGGCTCGGGGAGCCCCACTTCTGCTCTGCCGTCAGCTTAAGCTGATTCCACTAACACTTGCTGCTCCCCTGGCATCCAACTCTGGTATCCTGGGGTCTCCATCGCAACCGAGGCTGCACTTTCACCAATGGCCCCAATGATGCTTGCCCGATGCACCAAACTTCAGCTACTCTCCATGACAACCTTGCACCTTCAAAACCTGTACTACCCGAACAGTGCTTACATACTATTTGCCAGGTTCCACTGCAAATGCAAAGTATAGCCTGCCTCCCATGGAGCAGCTCTTTGCACTCACTGTGAAGAAATGGTTTTCTGTTGTCTCAAAGAGGCTCAAAAGACTTCACCTTAGTGGTGCTGATGTCTCATTGATCACGGATGGTTTTTCAGCCCCAGCTTGCCCAGCGTCACATTGTCCCAAGTGAAACAAAAGCTTCACTTCAATACTGTTGATTTCTTGGTAGTTGCTCTTGATTCTTCAGCCCCAGATGATCAGCCTGCACACATTTTAGCCAAAGTATCACACTTACACCTCAATAGTGTCTTTGCTACCCTCTGAAACCCCCCAGGACAGGCTTCCATTGTCCATGTTTCTCTAACCTTTCGTAGCTTCCAAGATCCCACAAGAGTGGCCCATTAAGCTGTGAGTACTCAAGTGGAAGAGGCAGACCAGTCTCATGAGTTCAAGGACAGCCAGGGCTGCATAGACAAATCCTGTCTCAAAAGAGGTGGGGTGGGAGAGGGGCTTTTCTTTCCACTTAATGTACCTCTCCTCTTCTTGTCGTGGTGCATGGCAGCCAAGGTCACAGCAACCGTGCTCAGTCACACCAGAGTGGTTGCTGGGAACCAAGTGCATAGCCCTTCACCATGGCCCAGTATTGCTTTTGCGCTTAGTAAATCAACTTGTCTTTCTAAGGCCTTGCTGCCGGACCTCTCTGCCCATTGAGCTAACAACTTCCTGTTGAGACAATCTGATCCTTGACATGTCTTAGATGAACTCAAGACTGAAAAACCAGGAATGCTGGTCCATACCTCTGATCCCAGCACTTGGGAGGTTATAGTTGGATTTTCCTTTACACCACCAGCTCACAAATAAAGACATGGAGATTTCTTACAAACTATGAAAGCTCAGCCAATAGCTTAGGCTTGTTTCTAGCTAGCTCTTACATTTATTTACATTAGCCCATTTGTATCAATCTATATCCTATCATGTGGCATTACCTCTCTTCTATCTTGCACCTCCTGTTTCCATTTCTCCTGGTGTTACCTGAGAACCTAGATTCCTTTTCCTACTTCTCTCTCTCTGGAAATCCCGCCTGTGACTCCTTCCTAGCTATTGGCCATTCAGCTCTTTATTAAACCAGTCACAGCAACATTTTCACACAGTGTACAGATATCCCACAACAAGAGGTAGAGTCAGAAGATCAAGCCATGCTGGGTGGTTAGTCAACCCACTGGGGCCAGAGAGGTGGCTCAAAGGTTAAAAACATTCACTGCTGGTTGGAGAGATGGCTCAGAGGTTAAGAGCACTGGCTGCTTTTCCAGAAGTCCTGAGTTCAATTCCCAGCAACCACATGGTGGCTCCCAACCATCTGTAATGAGATCTGGTGCCCTCTTCTGAAAGCAAAGCACTATACATAATAAATAAATATTTAAAAAAAAAAAATTCACTGCTACTGCTCCTGGCACCCGGCTCAGGTGACTCACAACGGCCTATAAGCTCCAGGGGATCCAGTACCCTCTCTGTTCTACATGGACATCCGCATTCACATGCACATTATTAAAAATAAAATAAGAGAGATGTGTTAACACACAACTTCTTTTTGCATTTGTCTTTGTTGTTGTTTGTTTTGAGACAGGGTTTCTCTGGTTTTGGAAGCTGCCCTGGAACTAGCTCTTATAGATCAGGCTGGTCTCAAATTCACAGAGATCTGATTGCCTCTGCCTCCTAAGTGCTGGGATTAAAGGTGTGTGCTACCACCACCCGGCTTTGATTTTTATTTTTAAATTATTTTGTGTATGTGTACATGTGCGTGCTTCTTTGTATGTGCATCACATTCATGCATGTGCCCATGGAGGCCAGAAGAGGACATCAGATCCCCTGGACTTGGAGATAGAGGCAGTGTAGCTGTCTGATATGGGTGCTGAGAGTCGGACCTGGGTCTTCTGTAAAAATTGCCTGAATTATTTCTCCTGCCCCCAACACATATTTTAATCCCACATTGGAGAGGTGGAACTCTATGATGAGTTCCAGGCTAGTCAAGACTACATAACAAGACTCTGTCTCCAAGTAAATAAATAAATCCTTAAAAGTAAACAGGGATTGGAAGGTCCAGGAAGATGCCGCAGCCAGGAAACAGGTGGTGTTTGGATAGTGCATGGTCCAGTTTGTGTGTTTTGTCATTGTTTACTTCTTTATATGGGTGTGAGTGCATGCTTGCATGTACTTGTATGTGCCATGGCAAATGCAGAACTCAAAAGACACCTTTTGGAAGTCACTTTTCTCAAGCTGTAGGTTCTAGGACTTGAAGTCAGGCGGTCAAGGGTTATATGGCAAGCACTTACACCTGTTGGGCCATCTGGCAGGCCCTGTTAGGGTTTTGTTTTGTTTGTTGTTGTTTTCACTTGTTGTATTAATGAGCTCTTCATTGCTCTCTCCAAATAGACAGCTACAGACAGTTCTTCTAATTCCTCTCAGAAGCGGGAGCAGCATGCAAGGACGATCTCTTCCCCGACATCATGTGAGCACCGGAGGATTTATACCCTTGATCCCTACCCCATAGACCATTACCACCCCGACCAGGTGAGCAGGAGATTTCATTCCTCTGGAAGCATATGGACATCTCTGCACTGGCCTTCTTCCTCCTCCCCAGCCCAAGCCACTTCCCCCCTGCTCTACCCTCAGCCGCGGTGGAAGCGCTTCTGGTGGTTGCAGGAGGCACCTGGCCTCACCCTGTGTGTGCTCTGCCTGCTTTAATCCAGATCGTCCCATGAAACAGGGCATTGGCATCCTCAGTTTACAAATGAGGCTGTGATAGATAGAGCTGTAAAGTGCCTGGGGGAAGGAGGTCCTTGCACGGAGTTCTGACTCCCTCTGTGCTCTTCCGTCCAAAGGGCCCCCTAGCTGTGAAAGCACAGGCCCTGGACGAGGAATGCTGCACACTTGGCTTGCTTCTCTGGCATGCGGGCTACAGACCAAGTCTTGCTCAGTCTGAATTCAGTAATCCAACAAATATTTACTGAGTGGCTGCTCCGTGGAACGGGTTTCCCAAATCATAGGGAATAGACTGGTGCCTTTGTGGATTATATGGCCTCTCGGCTGACTTGGAATGAAAAGAAGCAAGTACTGGGCAGGAAAATTTTGATGCTGTTTTAAGATGGTTTTACTGTGTGCTTCCTAATATTTTGACATTAAAATGTTCTTGGGGGTGGGGGGGGGTGGGGTTCGAGACAGTATTGCTTTGGAGCCTGTCCTGGAACTAGCTCTGTAGACCAGGCTGGCCTCGTTGAGTTCCACCTGCCTCTGCCTCCCAAGTGCTGGATTTAAGGCGAGCACCACCACGGCAGCTTGTATTCCTTCTTTGAGACAGGGCCTTCCCAGGCTGTCAAAGAACCTTTACCTCCCAAATGCCAGGATTACAGCTGTGGGCTCTGGTAGTACCCTGGGGACTGATTGACATCAGGCAAGAATTTACCAACTGAATTCAGACTGTTCTTAACATACACGAACAAAGCAGAGCTGCTGGGCTGTACTCATAATTGAGGCTACCAGATGTGAAAAGCATCTGGTAGTGACAAGCTGTCCGTGAAAGGTTATTGGCTGGTTATCGGCTCTTCCTTGAAGGAGGGGAGGGCCCACAGATCTTTCTTTGACTGCTGTCCATGGAGCGCCTTGGGCTGTAACAGTATCTGGTTTTTTTTCCCCTGGACAGCGGCTACAGAGATCCTTTCCAGAGGACGATGAGGAAATCGTACGTATCAATCCTCGGGAGAAGATCTGGATGACCAGTGGCTATGAGGATTACCGGCACGCGCCACTGCGCGGAAAATACCTAGATACGGCAGAAGATGTAGACTCCTCCTATGTGCGCTTTGCCAAGGGCGAAGCCACCAAACATGACTATAATTACCCCTATGTGGACTCCTCGGACTTTAGCTTCGGCGAAGATCCTAAAGGCCGCGGGAGGAGCAGTGTGATCAAGACGCAGCCAGCCAAGGGCAAGTCCCGGCGGCGAAAGGAAGACGGCGAGCGCTCGCGCTGTGTGTATTGCAGGGACATGTTCAATCACGAGGAGAACCACAGGGGCCACTGCCAGGATGCACCTGACGCTGTGAGAACTTGTATCCGCCGCGTGAGCTGTATGTGGTGTGCAGACAGTATGCTTTACCACTGTATGTCGGACCCCGAGGGAGACTACACGGACCCTTGCTCGTGCGACACCAGCGACGAGAAGTTTTGCCTCCGGTGGTTGGCACTTATTGCCTTGTCTTTCTTGGCCCCTTGTATGTGTTGTTACCTTCCGCTTCGAGCCTGTTACCACTGTGGAGTGATGTGCAGGTGCTGTGGCGGGAAGCACAAAGCCGCTGTGTGACTCATTTCCCGCTCTCCTCCTCTTCCATCCACAGCCACTTGTCTCTTGCATACCCCCCATCTTCTCCCCAGCTCCCTTCCAACTCCAAAGGGCGAGGCCGAGGAGGAAGTCAGGCCTCCCTTGTCCTTTGTGACATCATTCCAAATCTAACCTGGGGAAGCTGCGTCCTGTGTCAACCACACCCATAGGCTCGCAGTGTTTTGAAGAAAGGAGCTTTCTGCATGTACTCGTCTATTTTACCAGCCTGTGATCATACTGTCTATCCACGTGTTGATTTCTTGTTTCTCCTCGCCACCTCTTTCAGTTCTAAGGAATCTTCAATAGAAACTTTAAGATTTTGAGGGGTTTATAGTTGATTTTCCCACGAGCAGCGGCGACTTTTTCCCCCCCCCCCCCCCCCCGCGCGCGCGCTTGCCTGTCGCTAACAAGCACAGGTTTACCGGAAATGTGACCGAATGATGAAACCCTTCAAAAGTATTGTAACATTCAACGTGTTATTACTCCAGGAGGTGAGCTGGATAAGCTTGTACCACAAAACCAAATCTCCCCTACCTTCTGTGGTTTCTATCTTTAGCCCATCATTGTCTTCTGCCCCTCCCCCACCTGTTGAATTCATTCACTGTTGCAAAGCAGTTACCTTTCAAATGACTTGAGAATTGAGCCTTAACTTCAGATTAACTTGTGAGAATCAGGAAAAATTCCTTAAATTGCATTACATCCTCTTGGACCAGGGTTAGAAAGGGGATTTTGGGTTTTTATGAGCCTGCCCAGTTTACCCCTAAAATAGGACTTTTTTAGAATTGTGTTGCCACTTCTAAAATCTTAGCAATATTAGAATAACACACCAATGAAATAAATTTTACTCATCATTTTGCAAGCCAAATAGGTTTCTTTAAATGCAAAACAGTGTTCCGCAAACAGGTTTCAGTTGAAACACTAAAATTTATGGTGAATAAAGCTAGCCGTTTCTGCCCCCTGCAAGTGTTTTATATTTTTCAGGGGGAATTGTTTTATTTTTTTGTTTTTGTCTTGTTTTGGTTTAGTTTGGTTTTGGTTTTTCGAGACGGGGTTTCTCTATGTAGCCTTTGGAGCCTGTTCTGGAACTCCCTCTGTAGACCAGAATGGCCTCCCAACTCACAGAGATCTGCCTGACCCAGGCTCTGAGTGCTAGGATCAAAAGTGTGTGCCACCACCGCCCTCAGGGGGAGTTTTAAATACCATATATTAGTGGTGGCTTACATTTTTATTTAACTTACGTTTTTGCTTTAATTTGGGGCTCAATTCATTTATACTTAGGAAAAAACAAGGCCATATGTAAAAACCCTTCCAATGCCTAAGTGTCTTTTCTCCTGCAACTCCACACCCATACTTGCCACTTGGGGTGCACAGATAAGGGTAGGTCACCAACTGATTCTGCCTGCCACTGAGCCACATAAAAGGCTTCTAATTTGCTAGAGGAGGAAAAAAACATTTTTTAAAAATGTGTTGCAAGGAATAGCCAAATCTTGAAAAAAAGAAAGTGGTTACCTTTACCTAGACAATCAGAACTTTGTGGGGACCATAGGGGACATGCTTGTTGCCGCTGACTATTCTTCCCACTAAGATCTTTCTGTGGTAATTTCCAGCAGAAGACAGGCTCAGTCCCTTCTACTTCTTTCCCCTCCCTTTATTGCACACAGGACATCAGCCTTCAAGGAAAAGGACTTTTTTCCAGTGTATCAGTCATACTGGGAAAATGCTAGCCATGCTTACCTTCTTGGCAACATTTTCTTCTGCTTGCCTTGACAGCCTTCGTGTTTCTTTAGATGATCATCAGTATAGATGATGATCAGTGTGCTTCTGAATTAGTTGGTAGATGTTTTCCTTTGCTGGGATGACTGACTGGTTGGGATATCTATGGTAGAAAAGATCCAGAGAGCTATGCCATTGTCTATGGAGGGTTCTCCATACCATGAGATCATCTAGACTGCCTCCAGCCAGCCTCCGGTGCTGTGGAGAGACTGTCTGTCCCCAGCCTGGGGAACTTTCCCCAGGCCCTTTCTCCAAGTCACCTCTCTACAAAGCACAACACTAATCTACGCTTCCTCAGACCTCAGTTCAAGTGCCCCTATTTATTTCAGTAAGACGGTTGCTTCCTCTTGGTTGCCTTTGTTGTCTTTTTTTCTTCCTCTCCCCCTTGCTCCTTTCCACCCTTCTTAAGAGTTATGCTAGTAAATCTTACTCCGCTCATCATTCTTGGTTTGTGAAGGCAGCGGTTAAGGGCACAAAGACAGCCATGGGGACATTTATGTAAATAGGTTTAATTGCCACACTGCAGCTGAAAGGTGTGTAGTATTCTCCCAGTCAGCTTTGCCATACTGACGTCAATCATTTGAGAGAAATTATTCAGATTTTATTTTTATATCCGTGGTAACAAAACTTAGCCAAAAGATTCCCTGTTCAGAAGTTTCCCTGACTCCCCCGCCCCAAGCTATTTGCTCATATTAACAAATTAAAGTGCCTGAAGCATAATTCATTCACCTGTATACTAAACCCCTGTTGTATTGATTTTTTATAATAAGCCTTTTTACCTCTGTAAATATATACATATATATATATATATACAAGTGTATGATGTACATTTTAGTTCTTAACTTTTTTTATGGTTTCTAATATGTATGACCAATGTAGCCATTGCTTTAAAATGTACCATGTAAATATAAACACATTCTATCAGACTGTTGGCTTTTGGGTATTTTTCTGACTGGAGTGCTCGCAGAATGGGATGGGGTTCCTTTTGCAGAAGGACACAAAAACACATTTTTGTGAGATCCTTCCCGTCTATGGTTAAGATCGTGTGCCCCTCCCTCCTCAGGGAGAACATTCTTCCCTTTCCCATCTTCCCCACAAGCACTCCTCAGAGAGAGAGGCTATACTTTATCCCTGCTTTTTTCCACGCAGCCCTACTGAAGCCATGGGGCATGGGGATAGGAGACCGTTCTCAGAAGACATTGGAGACCAAACCAGCCCCTGGTCCCAGAGCAGCTCTTGGTCCACTTTCCAAATGGATCTTTTGAATGCCACAAAGCTTCTCCTTAGGTGTATAGACCCCCTTCCACCCTTGTTCCAGTAGTTCCCAGAAAAGGGGACAGGGGTCTCTGTGGCTCCTCTGTGAGCTGGTATGGGGGAAACATCATAATACCTCACTTGATATTCAGCCAAGAAACCAAACCTAAGACAGGGAACTAAAGTAACCATACAGTCACAAGGCAGGGCCTGGCCAGTCTGGCTAGTGACAAGCCCCAGATTCTTAAAGGGCCTTGTCCCAAGCTTCTCCTTCCCTCCCTGTTTGGAAGGTGAACCAGGACTAACTAGCCCACCTGCTCAGATTGCCTCAGAAATGTCACCTGCACCTCAGTACCAGGAACTAGGCTGGCTGTGAAGCCCATTTTAGCCTCCCACAGAATGAGCATTCATGCTAAGTCACATGAAGGAAACCCACAGAAGTGATGTGGCTTGATTACAGTCTGCCATCACTAGCCAGTGCTCGGGTGGATGACTGCCCTCAGTTTCCTCTGGCGTGAATGTTACAGGACCCAGATTCAATTGCTTGCTCTTTTCTTTCCCCTTGCTAAAGGAGACAAAATCCTACCAGAAGTAGGGTTTTAATCTATATGGCTGGTCTGGCAAACAAACTGAGCTGGAACAATTTTGTACACAAAACATACCACCTTTTTTTCCTTTTTAAGTTTTATATTTATGCTTGAAGTTTTTTGGGTTTTTTTGTTTGTTTGTTTGTTTGTTTGTTATTTTGGGGTTTTTTTATGTGTTGGTGTAAATATATCCATGTGTCCCTGGAGGCCAGAAGAGGGTATCAGATCCCTTGGAGTTGGAGTTAGAAGTGGGTGCGAGCCTCCAAACATGGGTGCTGGGAATTTAACTCCAGCCTATGGAAAGGAATTCAGCTCTGAGCCTTTTTTAACCCATTATTTCTGTACCTCCCACATCTGTTGGGACCAAGTGACCAAGAATTACTGAGCCTTAACTTGAGACAATGGGTTGAGTCAAAGATGACTCAAAGAAACCCACTCAGGGGTTAAGAGCACTGGCTGCTTTTGCAAAAGACCCAGCTTCAGTTCCCAACACCCACCCACATGACAGCTCACTTGGGAAAACAAGTCTGAGACAGGAGGACTGCTTTGAGTTCAATGTCAGCTTGTGCTATATAGTGAATTCCAGCCAGCCAACCTGAGCTGACTAGGCCAGCTTTCCAGAGATTTGCATAGAAGGTTGAATGAGGGCTAGCTGAGGGGGGGCTTCTCTCAGATGGAGGGTTGTGATTAGAGACACATCTGATCCTAATGAACTGGTCACAAGATGCTTTGCACCCCTGCAGATCTCTATTATTCATCTCCCCTTTCTGCGTTGTCCACTCTGTGTGGACAGGCTGCAGGAGCGGCTGGCTGTCCAGAACACAAATCTGACTGTGGAGAACGAGTCAGGTAAGGTGAGCTAGGGCATGAAGTCTAGCCTTGACAACATGCGCAGTAACCCCTGCCCTCGATGGTTCTGGTTCCGTAATGGGATCCATAGGAGGCAAATTACTTCCTTGGTTCCTTGTTTGTTCTGGGCCTTGAGGAAAGATCAGCCACTGGAGAAGACAACCAGCTTCAAGGGACAGGAGGCTGAAGGACATGGTGAACTGAACGTCTTCTTTGTCTATTGGCAACTTACTTGGTATTTCTTTTTCTAACTGCAATTCTCAGTTTGGCTGCCCTTCCTTGCTGACACTTCCAAATATGCCAACAGCTGGCTGTTGCCCATGGAGGTACACAGCTGGCTGGATTCTGGGCAGCCAGAATGTGCAGCCTGGAAAAGGCCAGTGGCCACTGTCTAAGCCTCTCTGTGGAGAGAGCTGGTCCAAGCTCAAAGGTACTTGCCTAACATGAGGTTTGCCTGAACCCAGGACATTTCTGTGAACTCTGGGGTTCTCTCCTGCAAGCCAAGCCTCTGTTTCTCCTCCATGATGTTCTCCCCCAGAATGGTGGACATCCATCCTGAAAATTAGTCCATTTCCAAAGGGAAAAGCACGGGCTATGAAGCCCTGTGTAAGGAACCTGCAGGGCAAT